TCCGAGGAGCTTGACGGATTGGCCTTGCATCACCAGTATCAATGCGATGTTTTACAACTTTTGTACTGCCTGGCTTGTTGCCATCCTTGTCGAATATGTTGGAGTATCTGCGGGGAAGTTCCTTAGCCTTGTGCTGGTATTTTTCTTCCAACCCTTCCATCCAGGCAATTATGTCTTCCGCCATGTCACTCTCGCCAATGGAATCGCTTTCAGGTAATATTTCGTAGTTGAAGATTGCCTCTACCTCTCGACATTGCCCCAGTACAGTTCCTCATCGGAGTTTAATTGGTGATTTGGACTCTTTGAGTACTCGAACTGGGATGCGTCCATCTTTTTGCGTCTTAGCCAGGGTTTTACCAATAAGTACGTCCGGTGTAAAATTTTGTGTTGCTTCAACAACCCACAATTTGTTTTTCCCACAATCTCCATCATTCTTCGCCCAAACAACTGCTTCTGACTTCGGTGGAATCTGCTCGCTTTCCTCTAGAATCACTCGCTTGCTGCTGTACGGGCCATCATACCCAAACCTAAGGGGCACTTCCATGTTGTTATACGTTATAACCCTGTTCTTCATGTTGATCTGCATACCTTGATCAAGTAAGAAGTCCATTCCAATGATGACTTCATCCACAATCGCCGCGACTATGAACTTGTGTAACACCGTCACATTCCCTATTGCGATTTTGCATGTAACCTCTCCTACAACTTGGGTGTCCTCACCAGTTGCTGTCCTCAACCTTGCTCCAGGTAATGGCCTTACCTCTTTAGTGACCAAATCAGATCGAATGATGGAATGTGATGCGCCCGTATCCACAGTTAGTACTCGCTCATGTCCGTCCACATATCCACCAACCGTAACGTTGCTCACTTTTCTGCCAATTTGCTAGACGGAGGTTATTTGGCATTCAATTGCGGGAGCCAGCGCGCGCCCCTTGCTGCTGGCTCGTTTTAGTTTAACGACTGATTGGAGTTGGATTCGTCTCCTTCAGTCCTGCGTTTGCGTCCTGCTGAATTGTTGAGCCCACTGGAACTTGCGCTGCAATCGTGGGCGAAGTGGCCTGGCTTTCCACATTTAAAACATTTGCCAGATCCATGCTTTTTCTCGCCCAGCAGTTGGATTAGCTTCTTCAGCATTTCCTTTGTCTCGTCCGGTGTCTCCAATTCCACGCGATGTGCTTTGTAGGCTGGTCTACTTAGGAGCGCCGCCGTTTCACGCGTCTGACCATACGAGATAGTTTCAGCAAATGTTGGCTTGGGATTCGCGTACGTCTCTTTCTTGGTATACACGTCCCGCATTCCGTTGATGAACCTCTGGATTTTTACTCTTTCGAGGTGCTCACCAGATGCATCTCCAATTGCCAAATGAGCCAACCTTTCAATCTCGGAGGCGAATTCCTGTAGAGTCTCGTTGGATTTCTGGCAGCGATTCTCCAGCTCCATCTGGTAAATCTGTTTCCTGTGCTCGCTACCATAACGTCTTTCCACTGCACCCATTAACTCATCGTAACTGTTCCTTTCACAATCAGGAATAGTCTGCAAGATTTCCGCTGCAGGTCCTTTTAATGCAACGAACAGTGCAGCGGATTTATCCTCCATGCTCCAGTGATTTGCTGTAGCTGTCTTCTCAAACTGGAGCTTAAAGACCTGGAAAGGAATAGTTCCATCAAAGGATGGAGTCTTTACCTTGGGAGCGTTCGTCGAATTAGCTGGACGATTCAACTGCAAACCCCGGAGACGATCTTCAAGCTCATCCACCTTAGTTCGACTTTGTCCTGTTTTTCCTTAATAAGCGCGATTTTATCTTGTCGTTCCTCGATTTTATCCTGTCTCTCTCTGAGTTCCGAGTTATTTTTGAAAAAATTTTCTTGTAGCCGTATATGTAATACTTCTATATTGGCAGTAAGCTAGCTTCTCAATGTGTAAGCATTTCGAAATCAAAGCGATACAGTCTAGTACCGTTTTTGTCAATGTATTTTTTACTTGAGTGCCGTGTTTGGGTGTGTGTTGTGTACATGTTTATTTATGAACGTATGTGTTCCTTTTCTTTCGTACGTGTTTATTGATATATCTGTACTGTAGTGTTTTCGGACGGTACTAGCTCTTACTGCCAATATAGGAGTATTATATATATGCTTGTAGCTAAGTAATCTCTTCATCTAGCTGCGATGATATGCGTGTTTCCTGCACTTGCAGCTGGGATTAAATCTGTGATGACATGTGTGACAATGGCAGCCAATAACGTGTTCATGTACATAGCTGTTGATGAACTTGGAGACTTTTGCTGTTCTTCAACCTTCCCGGATGTCTGCTGCACTTTCTTCGACGAACAAGCGCCCTCATCCTTCTGTTCATCCTTTGCGGATGCATCGTCGAGTTTACCCTGGAAGTCGTATTTGTCCACGTCGATGCCTTCTGCTTCCATAGCTTCTCGCAGCCGTGATAGTAACTCCACTTTTATTCCGGAGGTTGCTAAATTTCGCTTCTCCAACTCCTGTTTGAGTTCCTCAATCTTTAAGTCCTGAATTTTTGCCATTTTCAAAAGTTTATCCTTCGGGATTTTTTTAAAAATCCTACTTCTGACACCAATTGTTACGATTATCCTTGAAACCTCGAGGGATTACCCAAATATCTTTCGGTTCGTATCTCTGGATTGTTAAATAAATGCTAACGATGACCAAATTGTAGTACAATTAACTTTATCGTACAACAAAGAATTTACAATACTCGCTAATACAGTAAAAACACTTTACAATACTTGTTAAAGCAATAAAAACGCTTTACTAAACTTGTTAACACAATTAAACTTATAGCTTGCTTATTCGCAACTCACTTCTCTGCTCACTTCACTTGTAGCTTGCTGACTTGTAACTAACTCACTTCGCTGTGGCGGCGCCCTTATATACCTGTGCTCGCACTTATGGCAACTCTAGAACGTTCTGAAGTTTATCGCCCATTCTCTTTCTCTCGCTGTTCGCCGTGTTCATCCTCGTTCATTTCTCGTTGTTCGCTTCGCGTTGCCGCAGTATTCGCCACAATATAATTCCTTTCCACTTTGTTTTCCTTCATTCAGCTATCTTCGAAAAACAACTGATAGCTGGCAATTCTGCACATGTTTACGCAAGGGTTGCAGCAGCGTACGCTACGAATTACGAAAATTCTGGTTCTAGAATAAGGGGGTGAGACTAGAAACGTGAGACAGCGTACTGAATACCAAATAGTCTCAAAATCCAAGTTCACCACCAAAAATCACTATTAGTGACTAGAGACCGCTTACTGAATGCCAGGGTTAGTATTATTTAGCTCTTTTTTTCGACCGTTATAGCTCCAAACAAAATTTTCTGTGGCAACATTAGTCAGATCTGTTCTAATCGGGCCAAGCCAAGGGGAATTTATACAAGGTGGTGTTACTGGCGAATTTAGATTTTCGCCGCGGTGCTTCTTAATGTCAAAATGATGTGTTTGTTGTAATATGAATTGGCCTTGTTTACAACAAACACATCCTTTTGACATTAGGAAGTACCGCGGTGAAAATCTAAACTCGCCAGTAAGGCTTTCTGCACATTGGTCGTCTAATCATAGTTGCTTCATCGTCACAATCATGATGAAACGATTACATGACGGCTACACTTTCGCACACTCGGTCGTGATATTTCAATTCATCTGGCGTCTAAAAATTCACTTGGAGCAGGTATTTCCTGATTTTCTGGTTGATATTTTCGCGAAATATTTACAAAAACCTGCAATTTTTAAAATATAGACTGTGCTGCAACAATTTTAGACATCATTTTTCAGTAATATCTCTTCTTTTCTTTTCCTGAAATGTGTTTTGTGCATGCACACAAAGACTTTTTACAATTTCGTTATATTTTATAATTAAAACGCTCACATTTATTGAATTTTAATGCAATTATCCACTTTTTAATAATTTCCACAGACTTTATGCAAAAAATACTAATTTTTATGCAAATATTCACTTTTTCACTAATTTTTCCCCATAAAATGTAAACAAACAATGCGTGTACAAGGATTAGCAAACGACAGTGCCGTACTTATCCGTTTCTGCATCTTCTACAATTTGCCGATAACGACAAGTGTGCAGATCTCCTTTGAAATGCATGTGATCGGTTCAAAATTTCAGGGCGAGACGATAACGCAACTATGCCTGGACGACAAGTGTGCAGATAGCCTAACACCACCTTGTATAATTCGTCTTGGTTCATGGAATATGGAACCTCATAACTAATGTGAGTTGGCAGCCCTGTTTCTCATAGAGAACTGCCAGTTCAATAAAAAGCGTGCGAATATAAAATGGGAATGTAAATTACGGTGAAAACATCGATGTTTGAAGAATTGGTGTTTCGAAAAATTACATCGATGGCAGTTCGATGTATCGAATGAAAACATCGAAGTTTTTAAACATTTTTCTAATTTTTATTTAACCTGTGTGCTGATTCAAAAGTTGAACTAACGGTAAAGATTACTGTTTCTTATTATTAACATATTGACAGAGAGAGGAGGTTTACAAAACAAATATAAAGTAAACATTTTATCACATATCACCTGAAATGCAAAAAGACGTAACAAACATCGTCCGTGAAATTCAAAAAGTCGTAACTAATACAAAATTCAAAATTCAGTTTTTGATTGATATGATGGATTTCATCGAGTTACAACTCCCACATCTTTTAATGAAAAAAATAACAAAATAAAAAAAATTTAGTAACGACTTTTTACATTGCAGTTACGAGGTTGTTACGTCTTCACAAATATTATAAGGAAAGTTTAATAAAATTTCATTGAGCCCGCTACCAGTTTATCAAAATGCCTCCAGCACAAGCTTCGTTCGTTTATTGCTCTAAAATATTAACATGAATTAGAATCTCTGGCAGAATACATGTAGCGTAACACATATGTACACTACATACTTATAAACCAATTAAAGTATTTCTTACTTATATACGTATACATATATGAACATTTATTCAATGTCATATGGGAATTTATTAAAGAAACATTTTTGGGCATGATTCCACGAAAGTACTTATTAACCGCTATTAAACGCTGACACAAAATTTTAAAGCGCGCACAAAATGAAATCGTGAAAAAGTAGTCAAGAAACATTTTCAATGTTTTGATTTAACATCGGATTCGTAAAAACATCGACGAACAACGATGTTTGAAGCCACGACCATCGATGTTGCTCGATACATCGATGTTTTTTTACGACCCTAATATAAACGCAAAAGAAATGATATAAATATGTCAAAATTCAATTATGAGAACATTCATTTAATTGTTGTGGAGAAAAGCTAGTCGTTAGAAAATCGGTTTGTGCAAGAAATAAGTAATTGCAATTATTTCATATAATTTCTACGCCAGAGGTTTTCAGTGTTATAAATTGAGTACGTGACGATGACGATAACTACGAAACTGTGAAAAGCGAATTTGTGAAAATGCGAACGAAATCAACAAACGCAGTAGATTGAATAGATTATTATGTACATATAATCTCGCAGCTTAAATTGCAGCAGTATTTATTAAATTATAACGCGCAAAGTGCGTAATTTCAGTATTTTAGGAGAAAAAGTAAACAACTCTAAAATTAGTTGGTTGAAGAGGCAAAGACAATCGACAATTGAAAACAGCGGCCACAACTGTCGTTGAAGTGGATTGTGTGCAGTTGAATAAAATAGTAAAAAACTTTTAAAGTAAGAAAACTAATTTGGTTTTATTAAAAATGAATCTCTCATTTGCTGGATGTGGTTTCTTGGGAATATATCATGTGGGTGTGGCAGTATGTTTCAAAAAATATGCACCACATCTGCTTGAGAAAATTGGAGGCGCGTCAGCGGGTGCACTATCTGCGTGCTGCTTACTTTGTGATTTGCCGTTAGGTAAGACGAGTATATATGTAAATACACTCTGGGCCAAGTACATCTTACCACTTAAGATTTTTTCATATATGTAGATATTATTATCTATGCCGGTGGCAGTGTCATGGTATGACTGCCATGGGCGCAAACAGCGTGGGAATTTAGTTTTTGTTGAAGGCATCATGAATAAAATGGACTACTTGAAATTTTTAAGGAATACCAGGGACAGTAGCTGCTACCGTTTATTTATTTGTACAAAGATTTTGGACTGCTGTGCCCAAAGGCGTGATGCGAATCAAAAAACAGGGGGGCTTTAGTAGTCAGCCGCGCCTTGTGTTTTAAGAAAACCAGGTGGAATTAACAAATGAAACTTGGTCAGGATGTTAAGGGAGGTATCCTCTAAAACATGTATAACTAAAAAATATAAATAATATCATTGTTTATAAGTTATTTGTTGTTAAAATTTCTTAAGTCGTTCCACTTGGTTCCTTAACAAAAAAGCATTTGTGCATACTTTTATATATATAAATGCACATAACACTGTACTTAATATTTTAACACTTTTCTTTTATTTTATCTTGTATATAAATCACTTTAATTAAACTTTTATCGACTTGTAAATTACATTGAATTTCACGCATATTTACAATAACACATGGTTGCAAACTGACACATAACATGTGTTGCCATATTGTACAAAACAATACATACAAAGAAGGCAATGATTAAAAAGGAATACAGGGGAAATCAATACAAAAGAAAATGTTCAGCTCCTTTTCTTCGCAAAACAGAAAGGAGAATTCTATTGCCTGAGGGTTATAATCCCTAAGTGCGGCCGAAGGCCGCCTACGCAGAAAGGTGTTCTCTGCAAAAGGTGTTCAGCT